ATTTAATTGTATTAACCACTAAGAAGAAACAAAGGTCAGCAAACATGTAAAATGTAAAATGTAGAATATTAATTTAATAATTTTAAAATTTACATAGTAGCATTAAAATGTTGTATTCAAAACTAAATGCATATACACATTCAGTAAACAATTCAATCTGTTCTGGACAGATTTAAATTCCTTTGCTCCTTCTTTGCATCCTGGAGATCGTGAGAGAAATTCTTTATTATGTCCAGGGCACAAACTGTTAAAAAGGTAACTGTGATCAAACCCAGACGCTATTCTGTGATATTGCTCTAACACTGAGCCACCAATGCCTTATAATTATTCTTAAATTAATATTATCGGTGATGTTATGACATTATTACAGTATACTTTGGCTATTTTTATTTTTACCTACCAAAATCACCCTTTAGTTACAGTACATGATCATATTCCCTATTAAGTGGATTTTAAAAAGTACTACAGCTTTTCATACAACAATCAAAACAGCAGGTATTCTTAGAAAAGGTTAAAATATAATACCTTTTTTTATAAAGTATATATACTCTATATACTGTATTTACCAAATGTATTTCAAAAGTTTGCTGACATAACTGTAGTAAGTAGTATACAAGTAGCCATATCACCCCGCACCTCTCAACTGGCTACTCACTGAAGCAAAGCAGGGTTGAGCCTGGTCACTACCTCGATGGGAGACCTCCTGGGAAACTATGGTTGCTGCTATAAGTGGTGTTAGTGGGACCAGTGGGGGGTTCCCACCCTGCCCACCCTCCAGTCTGTGTGGATCCTAATGCTCTGGTATCGTGGTGGGGACACAATATTGTAGTGTCCCCACCACGATGAAACTCATCTTTCAGATGAGACGTTAAACCAAGATCCTGACTCTCCGTGGTCATTAAAGACTCCGGGCATTTCTCGATAAGAGTAGGGAGTTTCTCTGTGTCCAGGTCAAATTTCCCCCCTTGGCCTTTACCGTGGCCTCCAAATGCAAATGCATGATTGGCTTGCTTTTGCACAGCAATGGACTGGCGCACCATCCTGGGTGTACCCTGTCTTGCGCTTGTTGCTTGCCAGGTAGGCTCCGGCTTCCCATGACACCGTACGGTATAAAGCGGTTAGTCAAATGACATGGCAAGTAGTATACAGTAAGTGACAGAGTTAAAGAATTTGACGAATGAAGAAGGTAGAATACTATTGTGTACTTTATTTTTAAATTTTTTAGCTACCACAACCAGCTACTGTATGTACTGTGCATTAAGTATAATATATTTAAATTAATAAATTAATATTTTTATGATGTTCAGAGATTTTATACTGCATTTCTGTTGTTTTTATTTTTAGCTACCAAAATTTCCCTTTAGTTACATAATTCCATTTTACCATGCCATATTAAGTGGATTTAAAGTTTTATAGTAGAGAAACATTAAATGAAGAAATAATTTCACTTATACTGTATCTAAAGCACCACAAGTGCCATCTATCGATTGTCTTTGACCACTGAACCACATAGGGAAGCATACTGCATTCATAATGCAGTACGTCTAACGCAGCAATGAAAGTTAGCAGTTGTTCTGAGTGGCTGCATCTGTAGGTGAAATGTAACAGCCATTATGCACCAACAGATCCATGTCACAGTAGATCCAAGGGAGACGTGAAGCATTACTTCACCAACTGAATTGAGGTGGAACTTTAGGGAATACAGATTGTGCATAATTTGAGTGTACTGTAATTCACCAAGCCCAACACTTTTGTTCACTGCTATGTGATCCTTATTGACCAAGTAGTCAGCACCTTGATTAAGTCCTGATTTAAATATTGTAAAAGCATTTACAACATTAATAATAAAATGGAGAGTAAATTTTAATTGGTCACCATTCTCTCTTTATTAACCATTTTTTACATACAATAGTCCCACTATTCTTTCTAATGTCTTGTATTGCAACTCTGCATCACCCCAAATATTGAATTTCACATTATATTTGTGTTACAGTTTTGGTAGCCTAATGAACAGAGACACACATTCATTCATAATTGAACATTCTTTACTTTTAATTTTGATTAATTAGGAAAAAATAGTTATTAAAATTACTATTTTACATTTGTTTTCAATTAAAAGTGCTTTGAGCACTTAGCTCAAAATAAACTTGTGATACATTACTTAAGTTTATCAGTATAATTTAAGTCATGAATTCACAACTGATTTACTTAGAAGAAGAAGACAATTTAAGAAGAACAATATTTCTATGTTAATGCAAGCATCTTTTCTCAATCAAGTCTCCATGCTGGCAGACATGGAAGCCTTATCCTTTCTGATGTTCAGATGGCAACTTTAGATATCAGTTTTTTGTTGTCTGCTGCCAGCAAAATTGATAAATGATTAGATTTTATTATTATAGTTTCCAGGATAATAACATACTGCAATACGTTCTCTCTGATATCACACAGACTTGTTACATTTGCTCAACAGTGTAATCACAGTCTTTCGTTAGAATGTTTTTTATATTTTTTATTGCATAGTAATAACATCAAAGATAATTTCAGTTGTTTTTGCTTTTTTTGCAGTTGAGAAACTATTTTAACAAAATATAATGAGTTATGTTTGAATCAAAGATCTAAATCTAAAGTCTTGAATCTATCCCTACAACATTTCAGTATTGCAGAAACCATTGTAGAATTCCCATCTGGTAGTAAAATTTTAAAACAGAAGATTATTAGTGCTATGGGAAAATAATTATTGCCTTATCTCAGTGTATGTCCAACTGCTTCAAAAATTATCCTAATCAATGTTTCCTTTTAGTTGCCAACCTTTGCAACGTGGACTTTTCACAATCTTTTACATTACTTGATCAATTCACAATTCTTAAGAATGCTGGAAGTATAAAGATGCCTGTTTTTATTGTCTATTTCCTTGTAGTTAAAGTGCAATTAGTATTTTTTCATATTCATACATGTATATTTCAGTTATTTTTAACTAGTATATAACTGATATACAGTATATATCAATACTTGTTTTTTTATTTTTGTTAACATACCATTATATATCTGTATTTACAGATAAGAGGTCAATTGACTATACATTTTTTTAAATTGAAAATAACAAAATATCTGATCTTTAACTAACTTAAATCCCCATGTATTCCTATTAACATTGCTGCTAATACAATTTTTCTAAATGAACAAAACGTGCCTTGCAAAAGTACTCAGACCCTTCCTACCGTGTTCTATTTTGTGAATTTACAAAATTATGCTTACACATTTTTTAAACTTATTTTGATACTTTTTCTATTCCTGAATGCTCAAACTGAAGACTTAGGGTAAGATAAGTTACACTAAATGTCAACAAAAACTAAAAAGGAAAATGCAAATGGCATACAGCATTCAGACCTAATTTTCAGTATTTGGTGAAAGCACCTTTCACAGCAATTAGATTTGCAAGTCCTTGATTTAGTACACATTTTTCCCATTTGTCTTGTCAGATTTGCTCAGGGTTTCTTGGGGATTGCTGATGAACAACAGTTTTCAAGTCTTTTTGCTGATTCTCAATAGGATTCAAGACAGTACTGGGGTCATTCAAGGATATTCACTTTCTTATTCTTAAGCCACTCCAGTGTAGTTTTAGACTTGTGCTTTGGGTCATTGTCATGCTGAAAGGTGAAATACTGTATATTTCTTTTGGTATTTTTCTAGTACTTTTCTCTGTCCATTTCAGCTTCACTCCTGACATCCTTTCAGTCCTTGCTGATAAGAAGCTGGCCAATAAAAAAATGCTGCCTGGGACATGATATTATTTTCTACCCTTCTCTTAATGTGTGCTTTTTAGTTACTTTATTCCTTAATTGCTTTGAAGGCTCCTTAACCTTCATGGTTTAGTCTTTGTTTGAAATTCACTATATGATCAAAAATCCACACAGAGATAGCATTTTCTTATGAAATCATGGGATTCACTGCTATTTCACACTATTGTTGTCAAGTGCCATGACTGCAAGCTTTAAAGCACAAAATGTGAAATCTGACTTACTGTACGAAATGTGAAACATGATGTATATCGCCATAACTGACTCTGATGTATTTTCTGTTGGACCAGAGAATACATTCTTACCATATGCAATGCAAGGCAACATTTTGATCCTGTACTTTTTGTTATATTATTTGATTATCCTGCTTGACATCTGTCTATGCTTTATATTTATATATCTTGATATACAGAATGACACTACCATCCTTCATAGATCCTGAACTCTACCTGTGTAAAGCATACCCTCTGCTGGAATAAAAGCCACATGAAAAAAAAAAAAATTGTGTTGTGAGAAGCCATCTAGTGGCAGAGTTGTGAAGCTGAAACAGTGGAACAGTGGTTAGCATTGTTGCCCACAGCTCTGCGAACCTGGGTTAATTTCCTGGGGTGCTATCTGTGAGGAGTTTGTACAGTATGTTATCCCTGTGTTCTATTGGGTATCCACTTTGTGCTTTAATTTCCTCCCATGGTCCAAACACATACTGATAAATTAATTGTCTTCTAGGAAAATTGGTACTGGTGTGTGTGTGTTTGTGTGCCTTGCGATGGACTGGCATTCCATCCAGATGTATACTGTCTTGCTTCCATTGCCTGCTGGAAGGGGCATCTTTTAAAGGGAGTGAATACTTTTGCAAAGCACTGTAAATCAGTTACAGGGGAAACTTTGACAATGTAATGAAACAAGTTAAAAGGCTGAAGGTATTAATTATCCTAGTTCTACTTTTGTTTAGAAATATGATTTTGTTAGGCAAGTTGAATTGGAATGAAGCAGTTCTATTTAGGAAACTTTGATTTGTAGCTTTTCTACTGAGCCTTCATATTTGTATCATGAACATCTGCAATTGTCCTGACAAAGTACAGGTGTACACATCTTTAAAGAGACATGTACTCTAATGACTTAAAATTAATAGCTCTATCTGAATGTCTTAAGTATTTGTATAAAAGTGTGAAGTCATAACAGAATCTTGAATTATTATTTTAGGTATGATCCTAAAACAGATGCGTGGACTACTGTGGCACCGTTAAGTGTCCCAAGAGATGCTGTGGGTGTATGCCTATTGGGGGACCGTCTGTATGCAGTTGGTGGATACGATGGACAAACCTATTTGAACACTGTAGAGTCCTATGATGCACAAAATAATGAATGGAATGAGGTACAAAACACAATCAATATCGTTTTTAAATGAATGTTTTAGAAATATAATTGATGATGTTGTTAATACTCTGTTACTCTTTGTAATTCAGCTGATGGAAAGGCCTTTTATTCACATCATGTGTGAAAGAAAATTTTATCCCGATTATAGATTTTATGGTTCCACTGAATCAACATTGTAATTAATTTAGAATTAATATTTAATAGTATAGAGTTTCTTATTTTTGTTTCTGCAAAAATAAAAATATGTAAATGTTCATTATCTATACTCTCACATTAATTTTATTATTTTCAATATTCTTATGCACTTACAGTATACTATGTGTAAATTAGAAACAGTATTTACCACAAATTGATAGTTTATAATATCTTTTCATTTGTCCTGGGAGTGCAAAACTTTAAATATGCAAACATATTACTTGCAAAATAATTTCTGTATGAAATGTAATGTATGTGGTTATCATTAGTAGTGTCGAAGAAAGTTCTGCATTACATACACTGTTCATATTATTGGAATCATTGCAAATATAGCAATCACAGTGTAATTACACAGCTTTTAGGGAGCCTTAATGTAAAGCTTTACTTTCTTTAAATCATGTTTTTATTCCAGGAGGTGCCTCTTAAGATTGGAAGGGCTGGTGCATGCATTGTTGTTGTCAAGCTGCCTTGAGAAATGGAGATTTCTGAAGCAGAAGATTCTTTACGTGATGTGAAGTACCAACACCACTGATGCCATGACCAAGTACAAATTACAGCATTCTGTGCATCTCAAGTAGTCTGATACCTAACTGAGCCACTGTCAAGGGGATTATTTTGATTACATTCTACCATAGAAAACCCAGCTTCTCAGAGCCCTGGAAACCTGACTTAATCAATTTGGTTCTTAGTTTAGATGAATACCTCATAACCTTTCTCAAAGCCAGAATGCCAAGCTTGTACATTCAAAATGTATTTTGTTTGGGGATGAATTTTTTAAAACATTGTATTAAACAAATATTAAACAACTTGAAACAAGTATTTTTCACCTGGCAACAAAAAATACAACAGACACAGCCTTCAAGAAATTCATATGAATTAAGCTTATTTTCAAATGTAGTATATTTTTTAAATGTGTGGCTAGTAGAACTGGTCTCTGATTTAACTAAATAATTATCATAATTTTTTTTTTAATTCAGGAAACAAACATAGCACCTGCAGATAGTAAGTGGGGTTCATAGTGCTCTGAAGGGTCAGTTGTGGTGTGTAATGTTTTGAGGAGTTATCCTGTCCTGTAGGATTTTAGTTGGCTCCTGGTACAGCATCTCTATGTGAAGACATATAGGCTGACCGAAGATAGCTTACATGCACTTTATGTTCATTCTTATTTATGAGGTAATGGCATACCTGTGATGCCCTATTTCTTTTTCTTCATTTCTGTGGTATTATTGCTCTCTTTGGAAAGATAACCAATGGCATAATGTACAGAACCTCCTCCAGGTGTATTTTCATGGTTTATTCATGAACTGTTCCATTGTGGGCTATGACTTGTAGCTGATTGCCCACAATGACCCCAAACCACAAAGAGCCAGGGCAACACTACTGTATATTTACAAACATAACAGAATAACAAAACATTCTGGGTGCATCACAAACATACACAATAGAAAGTAGCATTTTAAGCTATTTCTACAGTACCAGTACTTTAAATGTAATTCAGAAGCTTCATCACATTGCTCCTACAGGCCTCATTCACTGAATACAAAATTCAAATATAAAGTCATACAGTATATATCATATTCATATATATGCAGTATAGGTTACCTCACAATTCCCATACTTGACAGTTTGCTCACTTTAGAAATTTGAGAAATGGTATCACATCTTATTTCTAAGGAAAGATCAAGATCAAGCTGGTCTAAAACTAAATTGCCTAGGTGAGACAATGAAGCAATTAACATTTTTGTAAAGATATGATTACACCTTTATTTTTTTATTAAAAATTATTAAAATATCATTTTGAGGATCTGCATAGATTCATAGACACAAATTTACAGTACATATATTTACATATTATATGGTGACGTGCAAAATTATTAATTTCCCTTGCAATTGTTATCCCAATTAGTTGAATAAATAATGATTTATATATAGTTAATACTACAGTATGTCTATTCACAAAATACTCAATTTAGCAAATACACATTAGTATATAAAAACAATTAAAAGTCAGCTTAAACTGCAAAGAAAAATCAAAAATTAAAATGTAATTGACTCACTGTAAATATAAATACTTTGCTAAATGAAACACTTAGTTGTGTGGATTCTGTCTATGTGCAATGATAGTGGTCCACATGATTTCAGAATAAAGACACTTGTCTCTACACTTGTAAAGTCCGTCAGTCACGTAGTGAACATCAGGGAAAGATTCAACCAAGACTACAAAACTTTCTAAACAACTCAATGATAAAGTTGTAGAACTGCACAGATCTGGAGAAGGAGCATGGTGAGCACATCATAAAGATCACCCAGCCACTGCCTAGATCAGGACATACCTCCAAAACAAACAAACAGGCAATGAGGACAGTGGTTATGTTGTTAGTTGTTACTGCAATGACAACAGTGACTTTTAAAGAGCTTCTGTGTTCTGTTGTTGAGATGGGAGAAAATAAGTCAGCAATATTCCAATACTAAAAACAAGTTCCCGAATTTGCATATAGTTTGCAATGAAAAAATTTCGTGTTGAAGTAAAGGTATTTACAAAGCACAGCACATCACCCATTTCTTACTCTCAGCCACCCCAATGTGAAAAATTGGCAGAGAAGTATCCAAAATGACTTTTTTGCTGTTTTAATGACATTTGACTTTAACTTAATTCACAAACAAAAGTGTTTATATTGAGCATTCAAGTATTGATTAAAAAAAATAAAGTTTACAAATGTGTACACATCATTAGTTACTGAACAATATAGGGCACTGCTGGAAGGGTGTTAATACTTTTAAAAGGCACTGTATTGAAGCATTTTAACCATATAGTGGTACATTATTCTGTAAAGGAAAATGCAGTGCTTTATTATGCAGAGGAAAAAATACAGATATACAGGATTTTGGTCACTTTTGTTACTTTATTGCCATTTTGAGTTTCTGTCACTTAATTTTGAAGTATTATAATTAATTAATACAAAAAGTCCTAAAACAGTTATTAAATAAATTAGTTCCTGTTTTATTTTTTCATTGTGTGGAGGTTTACATAATGTTTTCTCTTGCCTTTTTTATGCTTTTCTGCTTCTCAACATGTTCTTATAATACTTAAGTTTCACAAAATAATATAACAATAAATTAAGAAGAAAATATTAATAGCAGCCATATTAAGGACATATTAATAGCAGCCATTTAGTGCTATATCTTGACTAGCATATGTATAACATGTTTAAAAACTATTCCAGAATGATATTCTCAAAAGCTGATCTGGAATCTTAAGACAACTGCGGAAACTAAGACTTAGGCAATTAAGTTTTGCGATTTGTGATTGGGCAATTGCAAGACTCTTGATGTGTAATAAGAATTAACAGAATTATCTCAAATGGGAAATGGAGGTACACTAGGCTGTCTTAAATATGTCAACTGTACCAAAGAGTTACTGAAGAGTGGTGTTTGTATGTGAAGGGAGAAAGGCTGTAGAATTTGAGGAGGGACCTATATTCTTCTCTGCAGTATATTTAGAATTGAAATAATTTTAACAAAAGGTTATTAGGTTTTCCTTTTTCTTCTAACTACATATGAAGTTTACAGTAATTAGCTGCACTGAAATGTGTTAAATGGGTTTTTATTACTGAACAACACAATTTCAATAAACACTGTGAATATTTGTATGAGCTTACCACAGACATAATGGTAATGGGATTCTTGTATAACAGAGTATTACTTGATTTCACTTTTAACAATGTAACAAAACCATAACAAGAAGAAGTTCATGTGCAAACTACTTTTGAAAACAGTTTCTTTTTTTGAAAGAAAGTTACTTATATGACATAACAGAAAACCTTTTAAAATAGACAAAATAATATGACTGTTTTTAAATTATTAATTCTAATATTTTTTAATTATTGAAATATTACATTGAAGCTGTTTTCAAATTTTCATCACACAGCTGGTTGCTGAGTTACACCAAAGTCATTAGCACATAAGGTGTTAGGATATTAGTCTTGTATTTCATAGCTAGACAACATTTACTCAATGGTGAATATACAAATATATCATATTGATATTTTGCATTATTGTAAAGTTCTTTCCAAGTCTGCCAACAACCGCAGTCATGTATATAATCTCATTCTTAAATTGCTTGAAAACTTTGTATGTGTATTATAATATTGATATTTGTTTTATTACGCATGCTACAATGGTTTACATTCATTTATATTTGTATCATATTTTGCTAAATTCACTGCTCATCACTCAAAAATGTAATATTCTCATTCTGGGTATTACATATCAATGCGCCAACATTTAACTGCAAGGATTAAAGTCTGTTTATGAAGAATAGACAGTAACAGATATGCATTGCAAGACTGGTCAAATGGAATGAATCCTGATTCATAAATAGATTTCATAATGTGTCATTAGTTTATGACTTTAAGAAGTTGTATCACTGCTTGTTTCAACATAAATTAAAATCATGTAAATCCATAAATTTGCAACATCCATTAAAGATTCAAGAATATTTATATTTGTAATGATAATTTTTCTTCTTTCAATATTCTATATGGCATGCAAATCAAGGAATAAATCTTCAACAGTATATTGTTGTTGCTTGTTAACAAATATTATTTTCTGGATTTTAATCCAGAGATGGCTGTTTGATTGTTGTCTCTAAAATTGTTTCTTAAAAGGTGGTTTTGCTTCATGTGACTACATCTAATGATTTATAACTGGCATGTTTGTTGACTATTTTCTAACAGAAGCAACACAGGGGTAGAGAACCTGCAGGTGTTGTGCTTGCACTACACTCATGGCCTGCCAATTTTTAGTGCAGAGGTAGATATTTGATTTCCACAGCACAGACAAAACATCATAGTGAAAGTTATGTTTGGATTTTGAAGGTCTGAAAACACAGGAGAGTAAAAGAACAGAAAGAAGGAACTCATGCAAAATGTGTCGAATATTTTCTACACTTTAAACAGCATCCACAGTTAAGTCTAATAAGGGAATGCATAAAGGCTGAACTAAGAGGCTGGAGTTTTTTTCTTTATAATGCTGTATCCCAGAGACACAGATCTACTCAATCCCTCTTTTCACAGATAAAAAAAACATTTTTTAGGTTTGCAGAAAGACAGAAAATCAAATGTGGCTGTACTCTGATCTATCAGATTCTATCAATATTCAACTTAAGATCATGTTTCTGCCTTGAAAGTTCTGCGGTATATATGTATTACATTTTACACACATGATTTACTTAATGAGGAAATTGAGTAATTTCAGTAGTTAAAGAAGATTTGAAGTATACTTATTATTGTAAAATCTTATCTTCTTGTAAAGATATTGTACAAATACTAAAGAACATTTCATAAAAAAATACTACATGAACTTACACCTGTCACGATTGTAGTCCTTCACCCTAAGGGCACTCCAGCTCTTTCACTTTGGACTTGATTTTGTGCACCTGCCCCCTGTTCCAGCCTCCTTCCAGCCCACCTTAAAAGCCAGACGCCCACTCTGTTCCAGGCTCTGCATTGTTTCCTGTACCAAGTGAGTCCGGTATCTGAGCGTCTGGTCCTGTTCCCCCTTTTTCCCTCCAACCCTCCACCGGATCCCGCTCCAGTTTTTAATCCTGTTTGTCCTCATCTCGGATAGACTGCCCGGTTTTGGAACTTTTGCCTTCATCTTGGATTTCCCATTGGACTCTGATTTAGATTGTTTGCCCTGGACTCACCCCCCAGAATACCTGCGCACCATGGACATGCCCCCTGTTTTCATTCCCAACTCCTGCATTCTTTTTTCCCCGTGTTTTCCTCACTCATCTCCGGACTGTGTCATCTGTATAGGGTCCCAAATGAAAGCTTTCGTTACAATACCCAAGTGATTTGTAATGTCATAGTTCTGATTTAGATAAGAACTGGAAATTCATAATACAAAATGAGTAAAATATATATGTCACGATCAGGATCTCTTCTCCTAAAGGTGACACTTTCATATTTTCGTTAATTATCTGCACCTGAATCCCATTATTGAAGCCTGGCACTCTCACTATTCCTGGCTCAGCACTGCAAGATGGACGCCCAGAAGCCCACCTACCAGCAGGTCCAGGAGAGACCTGATGGCATAGGCTTCATCACAGCATCCTGACCATCTGAGTCCAGGGCTCGGAGTGCCTGGCCTCGTTATCCTGGTTTTATTTTCTGTCCCTGTTCCAGGTCCCTTTCCGGATTTTAACCTTGTTTGGACTGTGCCCCGGATTCTCCCTTTGGACTGTCTGGATCTGTTTGCCTTGCCAAGCCCCCCGAGCACTGTATCACCGTCGTCACTCCTCCCGGTCTGTCAACCCATCCTAATCCTGTAGTACATTTCCCTGATGTAATTCTTCATTTACTCCTGGATTATACCGTCTGCACAGGGTCCTGAACTACGCTTCACTGGAGCCTGGACCAGGCTCCCATTACAATATATTTTATAACCAAAATCTAAAATAAAATTATCTGATTTCTAATGACTATTTATACACAATTACTAATACTTCTACAACTTGTGCATTGACCTGGAATCAAACCTGGGCTGGCAAGATGTGACAGGCACGATTTCTACTACTGAACTGCCAATGTGTCAATGTGTCGTCATTATAGACAGGAAAGTTAGAATGAAGGCTCTGGACCTTTGAAAGTAACTATCAGTTAGTTCACAGCTAACAGGCTATTTCACTTGGTTCCTTTGTCAGCACATTAGAACATCAGGATAACAGAATGTCAGTTTTGTAAAATAAATCATTAAAAATAGAGGTTCAGTATGTATGTATTGAACATCTCTTTATTGATGCCCCTCTGGTTTTGTTACCTTTTAAACCATTGTTTAAAAGCCTTCTAATTATTATACTGTATCTTTCACAAATTGTATTTAAATAATACTGTTACATATACAGTATGTACAGTAGGTGTTACAAAAATAGTAAATATCAGAAACTGACCGAGTGGGTTTATCAATAAGTAAATTAAATAATCAGTGTTGCTCATACACACATTAGAAAGAAATATCCAGAACAAAAAAACAGAAAATCAACAAACAAATTATATTGTCTTTGTTCAAAAGTCGTTTTCTCAAGTTGTAGAACACCAAAGACATCAATTTTCTTTCTACTGTAGGCTTTCTCTAATACTGTATGTCTACTACCGTGTTAAAAAAAATGAGAGTAATTGAAAACATATAAACAAAATCGAAATTAATTTTTATGAAGACAGGACCTGCAATGCTTTTCTTACCGTTCCAGAAAACTGAAAAAAATAAAGAAAGGAATAAAAAAAATATTTTATTTCCATTGTTGCATTTAGTTACTGGTAGTGCTTGAAAGTGCATTCATGGTGTTTAGTCAATAGAAAAATGTGTTTTTTTGCACTTTTTTGCTCACTTCATGTGTGTACTAATATGGACAAGAAGCTATATTCTCTCATGAACCAGCAGAAAACTTTTTTACAACCATAATAACAGCAAGCATTTATAGAAAAGCTTAAAAACATTATAATGTTTCTTTAAAGTATTTAAAGGTTATATAGTTAAAACAAGTATGTCAAGACCTTTCCAAAATAACCACGGTAAGTGACCAAGTTAAAGACTTTGATGCAGAAAATGTCTATAAGATGGGATACTGTTGTGTACTTTATGCTATATTTTTAGCTACCACTACCATGTACAGTATACACAGCACATATAATATATATATTTCTAAATTAATATCATTATACTTATGTAATTTTTATTTTTAGCTATCAAAATATTCCTTTAATAATAATTGCATACACTTATATAGAGCTTTTCTCAACACTCAAAGCGCTTTACAGATAAGGGGGACTCCCCTCCACCATCACCAATGTGCTGCATCCACTTGGATGATGCGACAACAGCCATAGTGCACCAGTACGCTCTCCACACAACAGCTATCAGTTTTGAGGAGAAAAGGGGTTACACCCCTACTCTTTTTGAGACATGCCCTGGGATTTCTAATGACCACAGAGAATCAGGACCCTGGTTTTATGTCTCATCCTAATATTGGCTATTTTACAGTGTCCCCATCACTATACTGGGGCATTAGGACCTACAAAGACCTCAGGATGAGCACCCCTTAGTTTTTCTCAGGTGTAACGAACAGTTCTTTCCGGACCCTATGCGGACGACACAATCCGACGAAGTGGGGAAACACTGGGGAAACGTCATGCAGGAATACAGGGCTGAAGACAGGGGGGCGTGTCCAAGGTGCGCTGGTGCACGGGGGAGGTGTGGCAGAGGCGAACAATCCCAAAGAGTAATCCTTAGAGTATCCAAAAACACACGAGAAAGTCCAAAACCAGGAGATCCATCAAAACACGAAGTTAAAACCACGAAGGCCGGGTCGGAACCGGCGGAAAGGGAACAGGAACGGGAACGGGAACCGAGATTAAAACCTTAACGGGACCAGGCGCTTCCAGGTCCCGGACTCGCACGATATGGAAATCAGATCCAGAGCCCGGATGAGCGTCAGCGCCTGGCTTTTAAGGTGGGCTGGGAATGGGAAACAGGTGCAGAGAATAAAGTCATAAGTGAAAGGGCTGGAGCACCCTTAAGGAGGGGGGAACTATAATCGTGACAGTACGCCCCTCCTTTTCAGGGCGGCTCCGAAGCCCTAAAAAAAAAAAAGGGGAGAAAAAAAAAACGATGGAATCCAGGCTGCCAGGGTGCCGTCCGCGGGGTCCAGGTGTTGGCTCTGCATTCTGTAACGAACAGTTCTTTCCGGACCTTATGCGGACGACACAATCCGAAGGAGTGGGGAAACACTGGGGAAACGTCATGCAGGAATACGGGGCTGAAGACAGGGGGGCGTGT